CTGCTCTGCTCTAAAGGTGTGAGTCATGTATTGACTTCCCAGTGACTGTTCCTTGAAGATTTGGTGGTTTTGTGTCAGCTCTTTGAACAGTTCTCTCTCCCTGCTGAGGAGTTTGATGCCAAACAAGCTGCCAGCCCGGCTGCATTTCAGGAGTATCAAATAATCTGTATCGTTCCAGTTCCTTTGGGCTGTGACTCTGCTTTATCAGGGAAATATCCTCAATTGTAGAATTGGAGTTTTCACATGGGGAGAGTACTGACTTCTCTAACTCAGTCTTCAGTGTTACTGCCATTAGTTTCCTGTCTGCAGAATATATGAGGTTCACAAGTAAAATTCATTGCAGCTCATAAATTGTATATGCAGGGTATAGAAGGATATGCCAGAGCCCAGCAGTGACATAAAAAACGTACATAGCAATGAAAAAACCCCACTATGTGCCTTTGAGGTTTATTTTGTTTCTTCCCCAGTTAATTCCTCTCCTTTGCCTGCCCCAAGCTGAGGTTAAACTGTATTTCCCCCTGTGTGATGGGGGGTCCTGTTTGTTGGATCATCGTGGGACCACAGCAGCTCCCTGGTAGGGTCTTTCTGAGGGGTCAGAAATCCTCCACACTTGAAGACTTCTTGTTTTTATTGTTTAGATTAAAATTCTAGTTGCCATCTGTACTTAACCTGATCTTTTCCCATGCTTCCCAATAAGCCTTTGTTAAAATCCTAATTTGAGGATGTTTTCTGTGCTGATGAGCAGTGAGAGAGGTCCTCAAATCCCTGCCAGTGGAGGATGAGCTGTGCCGAGCCATGCAATGCCAAAGGCTTTGTCTGTTGTTCCCATAACTTTAATAAACACCCAGGAGGCAGCTCCTGGCAGCTGCTAATTTTAAAGTAACATATTAATCAAATTAATTGAGAGTTCCTTTTAATAATCAGCAGCAACAACATAACTTTGTGATGTTTTCAGTGTTGCTAAAAGTAATTCCCCCCCTCCCCCCCCAAAAAAAAGAGGATCTCTGCAGATAAATCAGCTGAAAAAGTGTTAAAGTGTCTCTTTTGCTACCTGATAATCCAATTAAGTGGTGATAAGAAAAATAGCTCCTGGAGAATTTCAGGGAAGCAGAATAATGTACTTAGTGTTGTACCAGAATCCAAATACCACATAATCGTGGGTATCCATGGATACTGAAGCAACACTTTGATTACCAGATACATCCATTACCCTTAAATACCAGCGCTGGGGGTTTAATGCCCCGACCAATTTAGCGCGTGACTGCTCCAGCCTGGAGAACCCTCCTGGGGATCTGCTCGGAGCAGCACAGAGCTGGCAGGGGGGAAGGAAGGCAGCCAGGATATTTTTGAGACTCTCTCCCCTGTTCCTGTGTGTTGTCAGCTGCCACCCAGCTGGCTCCATCCGCCTGCCCTCCGGCTGCGGGAGCTGGAGCGTCCTGGGATGTGGCCTGACCCCTGTGCCACATCTGTGACTTAGGAGTGGGATTCCCGGGAAAAACCATCACATGATAGTGCTGTAGGGTGCTTGTGCTGTTGGGAGTCACTCCACAATGGGTGGATGGCCTTGATGTCCCAACCTTTGATCAGAGCAAGATGAGCATGTTGGTCATCTCACAGCACAGGATCTGGCGGGAGGCTGGAGACACAAAGTCATGGAATCATAAAATCCTATAATGGTTGTCTTGGAGGGGGCCTTAAAGCTCATCCAGTGCCACCCCTGCCATGGGCAGGGACACCTCCCACTAGCCCAGGTTGCTCCAAGCCCATCCAACCTGGCCTTGGACACTTCCAGGGCTGGGGCAGCCACGGCTTTTCTGGGTGTGTCAGAACAGCCCTGGTTTGGTCTCAGGTGGTTTTGGCTCCAGACTCCCCCCCTTTGCCACAGCACTTGGTGCCAGTGAGAGCATTTGTCACTCCTCCAGTCCGTCAGGGTAATGGATCACTGCAGGAATTCAAGGCAAAGGCCTGAATTTGCAACTTTCACCTTGCTACCACTTAATTGCCTGAGAGGTTTTTCCCTGGTGAGTGCAGTGCATTAACCTGACAGGTTAAATAACTGTGCACACGCTTCCTGGCGGAACAGGAATGCGGGACGAGAATATGGAAGCTGAACTTATTCTCTCTGTGCCATTTGGACAGTCTCCCCTCAGTTCCCTGGGCACCTCTGCTTGCTGAGAGTGGTAAATGCCAGGGGGCCGTGCCTGCCAGGGGCTCCTCCAGAGGGGTGGGAGCACTGTTATCCCAGCTCAGGGGTCGGGTGTGAGCAGCAGCTCGTGGGCTGGGGTAGGTGGGTGCTGGGATGGGTCACTGCTGCTGCAGGACCTTTGTGCTCTGGTGTCAGAGCTGCCTGGGGTGGATTTGAGCTGAGCAAACTGGAAAATAGCACACTTTGACCCCTTTGGGTGCCTTTGGGGCTGTATTTGTTCCTCAGGCCTCTATTTGCTCTTTGGGCTGCATTCCCAGTCCTCTCACCTTTTCTGACTGAAGGTGATGGGAGGTGATGAAGGACTGCAAAGGACCTTCACAGCAGCTTCAGATGTGTCTAAATAATGGCTCCATCCAGCACAGAGGAGCCCTTTGGTCCCAATGCCATAAAATACATCTGCTCCTGCTCTGCTCTGTCACAGTGGGAGCCTCTCAAAAGGACACTGTGGAGGGAGGGAATAAATTTCCAGGTGACAAATCCTGGAGCTCTGTAGCACTCTGGGGGTTGGGTTGGTTTTTTCCTTTCTTTGCTGAAATGAATTCTCCAAAGTTGCCACGTCCTTGTTTTACAAGAGAAATCGGAGTCTCTCGGGGGAGGTTTGGAGTAGCTTGGCTTGGAGTGATGGAGTGCCAGGGAGGGCACAGGGACTTCCCAGGAGCAGATAATAACTTGAAATTCTCCTTAGGCTTGATGCCAGGGCAGAGAGATGTTCCCCAGCAGAGCCACGTGGATGGCTTCCCTGACTGCTGTGCCTGGGTGGTGCCCTGGCCCTGCCATGGAGCAGGATGCTCAGAGCCAGGGCTGGCTGGGGGAGCTGTGCTTTTAACCAGCTGCAATCCCTGCCAAGTGGGTCATTCCAGGAAAGCTGGATAGCACTGCTCACGGGTTTGAGTTCATTCTGCCTAATTTTGACTGGGGGAAAAAAAGAGAGCATTTTAAACTCTTTAGATTTTTGAACTCACTAGCAGCGAGGCTTTGTCTCTCCATTTAAAAATGAAGTTTCTTTTTAAAAACCTGTATTGTTTTATTTGAAAACAAACAAACAAGCAACAAAAACACCAGGTTGCAAAAATTTCAGGTTGTGATAATTGTGAAACAAAACGAAAGATTTTGTGTGAGTCAGAGGAAAACTTGGGGGTTATTATTCTCTTTTATTCTTTCCCTGCCTTTTCTTTTCACTGTTTTATTTCTTCCCACCAAACCAGTCCTTCTTCCCCCGGAGCTTTTGGAGCAGCCAATACAGCAGAGCTGCTTTGCCTTCAGGCAGTCCCTGCATCTCATCTTCTCTGCGTCTCAAACAAGGGAAGAGGAGCCTGCCCTGCTCTGGGAGGTGCTCAGAGACCTGCACAGGAGGCAGATTTCACCATTTTAAGGGCTGAGTTTGGTTGTCACGGCTGTTCCAGGGGTTCCTCCAGGTGTTGCCGTGGCTGCTGTGCCCGGGGTCGAGGATGGTGCTGCACTGGCAGATGGTGTGTGCCGGGGATGAGCCTCCTCCTCCTCCTCCCCCTGTAGGATCCCTCCATACAAACACCTTCTCCACGGCCTCCTTTAACAGTACTTTTAGATCTGTATTTTAAAGCATATCTGTGAATCTCTCCTTTGTCCTGCTGCCTTTTAATTAACTCGTCCCCACTGCTGTTTCTTATTAAGCAGCTCTGATATGTTATTAATTAACACATTGTGCAGTAGAGTGGGGAGGTTGGTATCTGAGATGCCATAAAAGATGAAAGTATTTACCACTGAGAAACAAAATAATTAAGGCAAAAGTTGCGTTTTCATCTGCCAGCAACAAGCAGAATATCACTGGAGATGGGATGGTTTTTTCTTTTATTTTTCCTAAAACAACCTAAATAACTGTACTCTGGGAACTGTGCTGGCAGGGAGCCTTTCTCTGCCCTGCCTGTGGGTGTCCCTGTTCTCTGCTCACACTCTGTGCCACCTTTCCTGGGTGTTTATGAGAATTCCCATTCACAGACGTACTTTATCTCGAGGCTTCAATATCTGGGTCTCTCCAGCCCAGTTGGTGATGGGCATGGGAACAAATAAGGGTTTTCTTGATCTTTATCCTTGATTTTCATTTTTATCCTTTTTTGGTTGGTTGGTTGGGGTTTTTTACCTGTTTTGGTTTTTTTGGTTTTTTTGTTTTGGTTTTTTTTTGCTTTACCAATACTTCAACTCCTTAGCTGTTCCTATTCCAGATAAGTCATTCCAGTGGAAATATTTTCCCTCAATAGCCTTCAACTTGTAAAACCAAGAAGAATTTCAGCCCTTTGCTGAGATAAAATTTGTGTAATACACCTCCAGCATCACTTGCCTTTCAGCTTGTTGTTTTGGGATTTTTTTAGTCAGTTTAAGCTTATTCAGGTTGCCCTTTGGATTGGTTTATTTTTTTTAATTCCTCCATTTTCAGTCCTTCCACTGATCATATATTTGCTTATTTTGCTTTTCTACAATGTTGGGTTTTCCCACCTGCTTAAACCACAACCCTACCCAGCCATGCAGACTGTGTGTATTGGAGCTCTCTGTGCAAAAAAATAATGGTATGAAATAACGGTGTGAATATGAAATAATGGTGTGAATATGAAATAATGGTGTGAATATGAAATAATGGTGTGAAACCCTCAGGAAGTGGCACATGAAGTGCCCACAAGGGCAGTGATCCCATCAGAGAACTCGTCTTCCCCCCAGGCTCCCCTTCCAGTGTGTGCCGTTCCCACTGCCATCCCTGTGCTCACCCCGATGTTCCATTTTCCTCCTGTGACAGTCCTTCTGCTCTCCCCTGTCTCTGGCTCAGGTGGGCTCTGCATTGCCCAGTCCCTGAAGATCCCCCAGGACCGCAAGGACAAGACCATCGACTTCGACAAGATCATCCGGCAGCTGCTGGAGACGCCCAACGCCAGGGCCATCGTCATCTTCGCCAACGATGAGGACATCAGGTGAGGGCAGCTGAGGGAGCTCATGGGGCTGGGCAGCTGAGGGAGCTCATGGGGCTGGGCAGCTGAGGGAGCTCATGGGGCTGGGCAGCTCTGCACCAAGGGCAAGGCAAAAAGAACGGGAGGAGGGAAGTGGGAATGTCTGTTGGTAAGAGTGATGGGGGGGCAGTTTGGGATGTGGGGGAAGCACCAGGCACGAGGGTGCTCTGCCCTGGCTCAGGGCGTGCCCAGACCACACTGGGGGCACAGGAATGGTGACCAGGACCTGGGAACTTTTCCTGGCATAGGGTTACCCATGCATTGGATGGCAGAGCTGACCTTACCCCTCAAAGAGGCACTAAGAGCACACCCCTCTCTCCAAGCTCGTTCTGTCATGTATAATTAATTATTTCAGGCTCTATTTTACGGCAAATGAAGGTTAATAGTGATGAAGTGACTTGGATGCTCAAGGTTAAATCACATAGAACTGGCTCATAAAATAATACAAAGAATATTTTATATTTCATTTCTCACTTGCCTGTGCTCCACATTCTCACTCCAGAATTTTAAATCAGCTTAAAACCGTGATGGAATCATCAGTTGCTGAGAGGCTCAGCCCTATAGTGAGACAAAAAGAATTCAGGATGAAGTTTCAATAAAGTCAGTGGCAAAACTCTAAGTTTTGGTGGAATCAATGTGTCAGTCATGGGATACAGGAGGAATTTAAAGAGAAGTCCTGTTGGTACTGCAAAGGATGGTTTGGGTTGGGAGGGACCTTTAATGATCATCTTGTTCCAAGCCCCTGCCATGGGCACCAACACCTTCCACTAGCCCTGGGTGCAGGAATGTGCTGTTTCTGCTCATGACAGAGTAGATTAGGTTGGAGAAGCCCTCTGAGATGACTGAGTCCCCCCATCCTGCCCCTGGCACAGGCCGTTTCTGCAGCAGCTCTGTGTTTAAACCCCACGTGTGAACACGCCCTTCTCTCCCACAGGCAGATCCTGGCGGCCGCCAAGAGGGCGGATCAAGTGGGACATTTCCTGTGGGTGGGCTCGGACACGTGGGGCTCCAAGGTGGGCCCGCTGCTGCAGCAGGAGGACGTCGCCGAGGGGGCCATCACCATCCTGCCCAAGAGAGCCACCATCGAGGGTAAGAGCTCCCCTCCCTCCCCTCCTGCTCCCCACACGCTGCCAGGGCAGAATTGGTCACCTGGGATTTCCCCCAGAAGTGTTTTGGGATAAAGGTGCCCAGAACAGGGTGATACAGACCGGGAAGCACATGGGGTAAGTGCCGAATTTTCCCCAAAGCTCCCTGTTCCCCACATGGACACCCGGCGTCATTCCCACAGCAGCAGCTGCCAGCAGTGGGTTATTGGAGCACGATCCCAGAGCCCACCCTGAACTGTGGGGATGTCACAGGGCTCCCATCACCCAAAGGAAAGGAAATTCAAATGATCTGAATGTGTCATGTGGATACAGGGGCACAGAAAGTCTGTTGCAACCTTTGTTTCAACTCTGAAGCAGCGGAGAAGTTCTCCACTGAAGGAGTAAAACTTCCTTTTCAGATCAGTGGCTTCCACTGAAACTTAGCTTAACTTTTATTTCCTGCAGATCAAGCACTATATTTAGTTATACATGTTGCTTGTGTGCTTGAAAAATATACACACCTATACATATGCACATGTATATAAAACTTATGGGAAACTCTTACATAATCCCTTTGTTTCCCAACATTCCTTTGTGTTCTGAAGAGTTTGTTGTCTGATCTCTCCTCAATTTGTTAATCCTTTTGTGTGCAGGGATGCTTAACTATCCACGTGGCTTCCTCTGGGCACCAAACTGGTTGATTAGAGTCTGTGTTCTCTATAATATGGAAAGAAAAGTTGTTTACAAGGTTCAGAAGGTAAATAACTTTCCTTTGAGTAAAGAAAACAAACTCCACAGCTGGCACATGGTGTGTGGGGCAGGGTCTCCAAAGAGTCCTTGAACACATTGCCTATATTAAAATAGGTTCGGGTGTCTTCACTCCCTGGAAAACCAAATATTTGCATTTTCCTGTGCCTGCACTCCCTCCTCATCAGTTATTCTTCTCAGGTGTATCATGTGCTTCCTTCTTCTACATTTTTCAGCCCCCGAGGTGTTCTCAAATGTTGTTTCTCCGTAAATACCTAAAGTTGATAGACAATGAAGTGGTTTGTTTCTGAAAACTAGGGTATTTTAATAAGCTTTTCATACTGGCTGTATTCATCCCTATGGGTTCCTGACACAGAAAAGAAAACTCTGCCAACAGTAAACAGAAACAAAAACTTTCCAGGTTTGCTTGTTTTAAAATATTTTACTTCTGTATTACACACTGAACCCATGAGGGGTTTTTTTGGACCCAGTAAGTGAGGAGAGCAGAGTGGAAGGGTCCAGGTATAGAAAGTCAGTTAAATAACAGTTGTAAATATCAGTGTATCTGGTGTATCTGCAAAAAAAATGTTTATTGAGCCCACAAATGTCTTCTTATTCAGTGACTGTGTTGAAGGATTGCCTGAAGGTTGGCTGGTTGCATTCTGCACTTGTAGCCGTGCAGGTTGGATGATTAGTTGTGATGCTTAAATCACATTTTGCCTATCACTGTCTCTAACTGTGCTCATGCTTTAGGAGCAGGTCCATGTTTCAGGTCCCTGTGTTGCAGGGACTCCCTGGCAGGGCAGGGCAGTGGGGCAGAGCAGGGGCTGTCCAGGGGTGCAGGAGGCAGAGCCAGATATCCCTGTCCAGAGCAGAGGCTCCCTGGCTGCTCAGAGAGCTTCAGGCTGGTTTTTACCTTCCTCAGTCCTGTTCATCCAGCCCCAAATGCCACCTGGATCTGCCTCTTGCTCCTGCTGTTACAGGGAGGGTAAAGGGATGCACATCCCCATTCTCCTGGAGCAGTTTTCCAGGACTCCACATTCCCAGCCCAATTCCATTTCACTTTCATTCACCAAGAGAAGCATCCACAGCTCTGCTACTCACAGAAATCAGGAATCCTTGGGCATTAGTGTTCCCATGCTCAGGGAGGCTCTTATCCCTCTGGATTGCTGCCTTCCTTGAATTTAGGCTGCTGGATGTTGTTTTGTTTTCCTTTCTGTTGTTCTAATTTCATTTGGCCAAGAGTCCAGGAGAAGGGAATTAGGCATTTTTATTCTTTTATCATCCAGCAATGAACATCTGCTTCCTAAAATTCAGTAATGCATTTCTTCTGGTGAAGGCATAAAATAAAAGAAATAAGCTGCCTTGATTTTCCCTATAAATTGATGGGAACAAAGTAAATGAGCAGAATGGAGCCCAGAGCCTGGAGCAGATCCCAGCCCAGCAGGCTCCACCTGAGCAGCAGCCCTGGGGCTCACAGGCTCCAGGTCAAGGCAAGAGTTAAGCACCAGCTTAATTCCCATTGGATTTGGTGAGAATTCTGGGTTAGTCATGAATGAGGGGGTTGCCCTGATTTTACTCGTCAAGAGCATGTTTTCTTCTTTTTCCCTTTCCTTTTATTACTGTCTTAGGTAGTATTTGAAATATGCTGGGAAAAGATTCCTAGGAAGCCTCCCTGGAAACAGAGGCCCTGCAGCTCCTGCCCCTCGACCTGAGTGTGTGACTCTGCCCCTGCTCCCAGTTCAGGGGAATGAGCCAGGAAATCCCAGAGGAGCTGGTGTGGGAAGTGACCATCCAGTCCAACCCCCCTGCCCAGGTAGGGTCACCTGGAGCAGGTGACACAGGGACGTGTCCAGATGGGTTTGGGATGTCTCCAGAGCAGGAGATTCCACACCTGCCTTGGGCAGCTGTTCCAGGCTCTGGCATCCTGAGGTGGAACTCCCTGTGTGATAGTTCATGGCCATTGCTCCTCATCCTGTCCCTGGGCACCCCTGCACACAGAGTGGGACCACCCTGACACCCCTTGGAGGTGTTTGTGTGGATGGATGGGATCCCCTCTCAGCCTTCTCTTCTCCAGACCAACCAGGCCCAGCTCCTGCAGTCTCTGCTCATCAGAGAGATGCTCCAGACCCCAGATCATCCCTGTGGCCTCCACTGGACCCTCTCCAGTAGCTCTTGGTCTTTCTTGAACTGTGGACACCATAGTTTTCTGCATGTCTCCCAGTTGGCATTCCTGTTTTCCTAACAGTGGGAATATCCCAGCAGCCTCTGGCTCCAGAGGGAGCCCAAAGCCCTTGGTTTCTTGTAGGATCAGGCCCCAGATCTGCAGTTATTTGTCTTGATACTTGATGTCACTCTGGGGACAGAATTTTCTTTGCCATGATCCCACGGGGGGGATTTAGGAAATCATTACATGAACTGAATTCATTCATCTTAAGTCAGTCTTAATATAGCCTGATTGTGTGTGATGTAATTATGCTGGAAGGATAAAGTTGCATTTTATTTGCATAATTGCAGTAGACAGGGAGCCAGAGGAGCTGCACATTAAAGAGCTGGAAAGTTAGGAACGTGCTCCATAGCCAGTTTAACCAGGTACCAGGGCAGCTGAAAGGTTTGAGATGTTTTCAGGGGAAAAAAAGCAGATTGTATTTATTTTTAGAACAATTATGGCAGCAGGGTACTGTATTATGGTTCTTGCTGCTTTGAACTCTTGCAAAAGAGGGTCATGGTGGTGTGTCCTCACGTGGAGAGAAGGGCAGTGAAACATCAGCCCCGTCCTGAGTCTTAGAGATCGTTTTCCTCTTAAACTCGACTGTGAGGAAATCAACTACTGTCTACTCACTTCTTCCTTTCTGTTGTTCCTACACCTCTTTTCTGTGCAAAATTTATCAAATTGGGCTGTTACCCTGTGGTTCATGTTGTTACTGTTCATCTACTGATTGAACACTTCCAGAAATCTGTTTTTTTCTCCAATAATTTTCTTTTGAAATAGTCTTGCTTGTCTTTCTTACGTGTCTGTGCTCTGTCTTCATGGACACACCAGCTCCCAGGGAAATGAAACCAAGGAGAGAAGCAGCTGTAAGGAAAATACAGAGGCTAATATACATATATGTGTGTGTGTGTGATGTTAATTATTTAGAAAGTTGGAAAAATGCTTTGCTGATGTGGAAAAAAATATTATTTACAGGCTGAGCTCAGAACTGATGCAACTAAACAGTGAGATTCAAGTAGGTTTAAGATGAATGATTCCATTCCAACAGGCTGGGGATGTGGCCCAGGCTGCAGTTTGTGGAGCTCTGGGCTTGGAGGTTAAGGGATGGCTCCAATCCAGCCCAGGGACACACCCAGCTGTTCAAAAAACCAGGAATGCTGCAAACCAGTGTAACTGTCCTTGAATTTTTCAGTTGTTTGTCTTCCAAAGGGATCCTGGTTTTATGTTCTGGTTTTATTTCTAACAAGAACCAGTTTGCTTCTTTTTTGTTTGGGTGGGATGAACCGGGAAAAAAACCATGGAAGGGTAGTGATTTAAGGACAAATCACTGTGCAATGATATCTCACTGTTTAGTGGCTCTGAAATGTTTTCCCTTCTCATCCCAGCGCAGCAAAGGGAAGGAGCTCGGGGCTCATTGTGCTCTGTTAGAGACAGTTTGGATTTAATCCAGTGTTAATGAACAGGGGCACACTGCTCTGCATCTCCCCAGGGCTGCCTTCACCAGGATGCTGCTCTGGAAGTGATGTGCTTCCTGCAACACCTCCCACCCCCTCCCTCAGCACAACACAGGGCTGGCTCATATCACTCAGGAATATTGGGAAAATAGTCCATTTTGGATTTCTTTGGTTTGTTTACGGCCTGGTTCGGCATCTCTTCCAGTTCTCTGTTGTTCTCCAGCTTTTTCTGTGTCCCTGAGGCATGAGCATGTGGTCTGGAGAGAGTCAGTGGGCTGGAAAGATGTGGCTCCAGGGCTTTGGTTCATGCCAGGCTGTGGGGCTGCAGCCTCCCTGAGCAGAGCCCAGGAACACCAGGAGCCAGGGGGGACACCAGTCCTGAGGGAAAGGGCTCGGACCAGCGCTCCCAAATTTACCCATTCCTGCCATTACCTGTCCTGAGTGTTCCTCTCATCTCCTCAGCACCCCCCACCTCTCCCATTGTCCTCCCTGCCCTGCTGAGGGGCTCCAGCACTGGGGGGTTTGTCCTTCCTCAGTCCTTCCTCAGTGAGTCAGGAGACTCACCCTCCCAGCTCAGGGTACTCTGTGGCT